TGAACCTGGGTAACCAGGTTCTTCCAAATAGAAATCTTTTCCAATGGAAAGGTTGTATAATTTTAGGTCTACTGTACAGTTGGAAGTCATCCACTGTGTGCGATGTGTTGAATTCGTGACCACTACAAAGTGTTGCAACTCATTAAAAAATCGTCAATCATTCATAATTGCACTTAATCATTATAGAGAAACTCATTAACGTTAGTATTATTTCCTCTCCCTCCTCCTTTTCTGCTATATTATCATGAGAAGAAGCGGAAAGCTTACGCTACGTGGACGGATGGTTTTGATCTATGTGTAAATCTGTTTAACGCATGCGCCTAGCATAATACCCAAATCGGCCGGAATGTGTCCATTCGAATTTCATTGACAAGAGAGCAAAAAAAATCAGTTCTTATTCTGTCCTCTATGTTCCGTGCTTCTGGGTCCGAGGGTTGGGCATTTCCTTCATTTTCGGCACCAAAGAAATTCTTTCACTTCATAGGCGCGCCTTGTTTGGCAGGTAATTGCCTACTTAGACAATATTATTTAAATATTAGGTCCATTACATTTTATACATACATACGTATGTAGAAATGTGAAAACCAATTTTTCAAGTAGTTCCTCTCTTCAATCTTAACCTCACCTAACCCCCTCGAAACTCTCTAGAGAACTCACTAACGTAAGGCCTATGTCTAACCGACGGACTGTCCTTGGATCAGGCGAGGTCTACCTTTTTACTTTCCAAAGAAACTCAATCATAGCCCTATGGACCGATTGGGGCTATGACGATTAATCCTTAGTTTTCGAGACACCGCGTCCAGGACTTATAACGTTACAAACGTTACGCCAATTGCAGCCCTATTCAGTCTCTCATGGCTCTTTTGACGGAGAACGTGTAACGTTAGACCAAATGTAGGTGTTTTTCGAGTTTCATGAGCTATTTCAGTGCGGTCGTAGAACATTAGGCTTATCCAAATTTCCTCGAATCTTCTGGACTCGTTCCGAGAGGTGCCTATAGACAAACGTGCCTACAAAAGAAAAAAGTAGCAACGTTGATTTAATAAAAATCATTCCCCCGCAGATATGGGCAAAGTATGGACTTCATGGGCATGCTGTACCATGAGTTCAGTGACCTGCCAGCTGCAGGATCTCCCCATCCTCGGCTCACACTACATGACCGTATGACTCAAATTAGCTGGTTTCTTGACGTCACGTTTACCAGGTGCGTTCTGTCCATTTTTTATGTGGGTTTCGCGTGAACGGCTCGAAGGCACTTCTTGCCTTAAATTACACTCATTAAATTACATTCTGGAACTCGCTGATTAAAGTTCTAACGAGAAAACATCAGCCTATTCTCTATCGTGTGCCTGATAATTAACACAGGAATAATATTTACATGAAATTTCTAAAACTCAGGATGTGGCGAAGGGGGAATTTCTGAAACATCTCTCATGTCCCCAGATCATCAACACTTTAGTGAAATCATGCGCGTTTCAGGTCAAGGGTAAATTCAGGACGCGGGAAGCAGGCACGGCTTTATCGGGCGACCGGAGAAACGTCTCATTTCAACGATGCCGAGTCGAAGCACTTGCAGTTTGGGTAGGACGGCCGTCGGAGTCCTCTTGGGATCACATAAATGCAGACGTTTCTGTGATTGTCTCGGTTTGACGCTGACCTATCCATGAAGGGGAAATTTTCGTTCTCGTCAGTGAGATGCGAATGGACAGATTCCGGCATATTTGAGGAATATGCAGTACTTGTCGCTTGCGGTAAGCAGCTTGACACTTTAATCAAAACCATCCGTCAACGTTGCGTAAGCATTCGCGTTCTTCCCATGATAATATAGTAGAAATGGAAGAGGGAGAGTAAACAACACTACCATTGCTGAGTTTCTTCATATGGATTAAGTACATTTATGAAAGATTGACGATTTTTTAATACTGATTTGCACCACTTTGTAGCTGTCACGAAAGGTAAGGAGAAGCACAGTGCATGACATCACACTATATCCACTTGTCCGACCTGGCACAACTTGTAACCAGGCTCATCCAAAGAGAAACCTTATCGAAGCATAACAATCCAAGTAAATCTACGTGTGATTGATGGATCTCGGAATTCACCTGATCGGCCTCCACATTTAAAGTAATATTAATGAATAAATTAAGTAATATTTTGATTTTTTTGCCAATCATGAAGCAAACTCCTGAAGTCCGGAAGAAATCTTCCTTGATATCTTTATGAAAGGTGGCAAAATAGAGCAAAGTTAGTTTTTTTTGTAACGATGCTGGAGTGCACTGAACAGGTACTCGTGGCGGAGATCACAGGAAACGAGGAATACAATGCGGCAGTGGAAGCCTTCTGGGACTACGGGGTTAATGAGGCTCCCTGAACTCTGAAAAGTCACATCATATTTCAGGATTGGGGCTTAATTCCTAACGCAGCTAATCTCGTATTCATCATTCTCTTGGTGAGTCTGGGAATAAAATATTCATTGGAATTTTGTGTGTTTCGGTGTCCATGTATGTGGAGATGATCGGGGGGGGGGGGATTACGGGAATAGTCCTAGGAAGGAGGAGTCACTCTGCTTCAGAAATAGTATTAGTTCAACAGATGTTACGACTGGGGATTGTAATAGTAAATGGATTTTATATTGTTCAAATACGTACCAAAATTCCTTACCACATAGATAGAAATTTTCCTGATTAAGCTGACTTCCCCAATGTAATACAAATGGAGTGGAAGAATACTAGGACAAAATCCTTCTATTCTTTTATTTCTTCTTGGAAGCCTTTCATAATTTGCTAGAATCGATGAGGCCGGCAAGAGCTCCTTGGAAGGCAGCATTTTAATCGAGGGCAACCTCATTCTGGTTGAAATCGGAACGATCGTCCTGGAAATTGTCATTCTGAGGATCTGAGGATTCGGATTTTGCATCTCAAAAAAACTCCAATCGCATTCACATCCACCTAGTTCATCCATATCACATTGGTATTCACTGGTAATCTTATTTGAACTTACTTCGAAAATTGACTCGCTAGTTTTAGGTTTGTAGTTTTGCATTGAAACGCATTACAATGGAAATACCAAAATTTAAAGATTATTTTTCATCATTTTTTTCATCAACATCGTGAAAATATGATTCTCGAAAGTGTTTCTGGGGCATTTCTCAAAATCATGATTTGAAGGATTAGAACTATATCCCAAATCCCTTTACACAAAGATACACACACTCCGACAGACATTTCGTTTCCTAACTCACCACGAGACAGACGTAGGCGACATTAGCTGCGTGACGGATTACTCCCCACTTCTGAATGAAGACGAGACCTTTCCCAGTCCTAGGCACCTGGTTCACCGTATAGTCGCAGAAGGTTTCAACTGCCGTCTTGTATTTCGCCTTTCCGGTCAACACCGCGAGATGTACCTGCATACGGCAGCCAAATGACATGTCAAACTTCATTTGAGGATCCTTTTCTAGATCTTAGGCACAAATTTGCAGTGGCACATTGTATTACATTTCCGGACTTCAGTCTCTGCCAACATTGTCTTTAAAAAATCAAGAAATTCCTAATGCATCTATCAATCACTTCAATTTCGAGCTCTCAGTCAATCGTAGCCCCTAAATTTAATCATTGGAAGTGGATAGATTTTTCATGTGGTTCCACAGATTTTCAGTTTGTGTCCCCAGTGAACCAGCATACATCATAATACAAGTATCTCAGCCTAGAATAAATTTTTGGCTTTTCCCATTGACTATGGTACCAGCTACAGGCTGCCGCGCACAAGCGACAAAACACTTCGTATGTCTTTGGAAAGGAAAAGGAAACTTTAAAACTAGTTCTGACATCATCATATCATGCATATTACTCCAACCTCCTTTCCTTCCATCTCACAGCAGGAAGGATGTAAAAGCAAATGTTACCTGTGCGAATGATTTTGAGAGAGGTGACATGCATTTATCAGCTGACGTCGAGCATCCTGCCGAATCTAGGGAATCTCACCCAGAAATTCGGCACGGATGACAACAACGGAAATCACCACTTGTGACTGTATCGGCGCATCAAATGGATTTATTTTGAATCAAAACTGCTACTTGGGATACGCTTGTGAGATGCAATGTTTTGGCTCTCCGAAATTCACGGAATTGGCAGCCCCATTTTTATTGCTACCTAAGCGGCATGCCACCTGCAGGATCCTCTCATCCTCGCCATGCGTTTCGCAACCATATGATCCAAACCAGCTGGCTTCTTGACGTCACATTCGTGAGGTGTGCACTGAGTCCAATTACATGCAGGGTGGTTGGAAAAGGAACCCCTATATTTAAATTGCAGTAACTGTTGCTGTTTTGGGGTCTGTAATAACGGTTTTTGTGTCAAAATATCATAAGAACTGGGAGTCGCGAATTCCTTACTTATCATCAAAATTTTGAACACATATCTTTTTTACAAGAATAAACGACGGCAGTTGCCCTTTCCCCCCTTATACCTTATGAAAGTACGTCATGAAACATAAAGCGAAAGCGGGAATATTGAAACTGGAGATCATGCAAATGCTAAAAAGTTCTGAGTGCTTACCATTCAGCCTTACATTCTTAATCTTAATCTGTAAGCTCCAGAGATCGCACAGTCTGAGCCCCCCGGTGGAAAATGAAAATGGTTCTTAAAAAAATGTGTTGTCATCTACTTGAAAGAAAATTACGTTATTGCCATTCTAAAAACTTCAGACAACATCTTGCCAACCCTGCGGTGATGTGATGCGAAAGGTAGAAGCCCACCCGACAAATCACCCAACGGGCGTGGCCTCTCCATTGCTGCGTCATGCGTTCATGGCTCACCAGACACGGCAAACAGACAGCATCAGTACGCCCACGTTCTAGACGCAGTATTTAATCGCATCGTTCGACACTAGATACTCTCATAACCACCAAATTGCGGGCCACACGTACCATTTCACCACTAGGAAGCGATCGAGCTCGTCGCAAACTTGATACGCCATGGTAAGTTCACCAACGCCATGATATGATTGCTGTAACTGGTCGTTTTACAGCGATGCGTTTGCCTCGATTAGTTTAGATGTGTTTCTGCTTTTCCTTTCCTCAGTTGCTCCTGTTTTTCCTGGGACTTTTCGGCATGAGCCAGGTGAAGGGAGACTACGACTACGCTTCGGCGATACGACTCAGCTTCAAGTTCTACGAAGCGCAAAGAGCAGGCCAGTTACCCGACAATCATATCCCTTGGAGAAAGAGTTCTTTCCTCAAAGACGGAAGCGACAAAGGAATCAACTTGGTCGGTGGATACTTCGACGGTAAATTTAAAGCCAATCGCATTATCATATGCCTTTTGCGTCATTAAACACTGATCAAGCGAAAGAAATACCTGGAATGACTTTGATACAGCCGGAGACTACGTGAAATTCGGTTTCCCGATGGCATATACTACCACCGTCCTGGCCTGGGGAATGGTCGAATACGCGAATGCCTACAACAAGGCCGGCCTTGCGGCGGCAGGGAGAGCTCAACTGCGATGGGCCACCGATTATTTCATCAAGGTACTTCCGAGAATTTTCAAAGACGAATTCATAACTCGAGTTTCTTGTCCAAACGTATCATGACATTATTTCAGGCTCACCCATCGGCAAAGAAGCTCTTCGGTCAGGTCGGGAATGGAAAAATCGATCATTCGTATTGGGGTCGCCCAGAGGATTGGCCGTCGAACAAACAACGCCCCTCGTATTTCATCGACCAGAACTCTCCAGGTTATATCTGCTCACGATAAGTCCTGGAAGTTAGTTTCCTTGTACTATGATACGAGTCTTTTTTCTCGTTGAACATAGGATCGGACTTGGCGGCAGAAACGGCAGCAGCCATGGCAGCCAGCTCCATTGTATTCAGGGGGAACGACGATAACTATGCGAACACCCTCCTTCGTCATGCGAGGGAACTCTATGCCTTCGCCAATCAGAATCGAGGCCTCTACTCCAAATCCATCACTGATGCTAAGGAGTATTATCCGTAAGTATTGATGTGATGGATCGTGGGAAGAACAGGGTCCTCGGATAAGATTCGGGATCCTGGACGTTTCAGGTCGAGTAATTACGAGGACGAACTAGCATGGGCGGCAGCATGGTTGTATCGGGCGACCCGAGAAGCGTCTTATCTGAAAGACGCCGAGAATAAATATGTTGAATTTGGGCTGAACGACCGGCCATCGGAGTTCTCTTGGGACGACAAGAATGCAGGCGTTCAAGTACGTGCTTTTCTCTCGTGTTCTCGATTCGACGCCGAAACAGTTACAAGGGGAAATTTCCGTTGTAGTCATCCGTGCCGAATTTCTTAGTGAGCTTCCCTAGATTTAGCAGAATGCTCGACATCAGCTTAAAAATGCATATCACCTCTCTCAAAATCATTCGCACAGGTCACTTTTGCTTTTATTTCCTTCCTGATGTGATATGGAAGGGAGGCCGGAGTAATATGCATGATATGATGGTGGCATAATTAGTTTTCGAGTTTCCTTTTCTTTTCCAAAGACATACGAAGTGTTTTGTCGCTTGTGCGCGGCAATCAGCAGCCGGTACCAAAGTCAATGGGAAAAGCCATATATTCCTTCTAGGCTGAGATACTTGTATTATGATGCATGCTCGTTCTCCGGGCTTACAAACTGAAAATCTGTGGAACCACATGGAAAACCTATCCACTTCCAATTATTAAATTTAGGGGCTACGGTTGACTGAGAGCTCGAAATTGAAGTGATTGTTAGATGCATTAAGAATTGTTTGATTTTTTTTAAAGACAATGTTGGCAAGTACTGATGTCCGGAGATGTAAGATGCACTGCAAATTTGTGCCTAAGACTAAAGGATCCTCAAATGAGATTTGACGAGTCAATTGGCTGCCGTACGCAGGTACTTCTCGCGGTGTTGACCGGGAAGGCGAAATACAAGACGGCAGTTAAAACCTTTTGCGACTACATGGTGTATGGGGTGAAGAGGACTCCGAAAGGTCTCGTCTTCATTAGCGAGTGGGGAGTACTTCGTCACGCAGCTAATGTCGCCTACGTCTGCCTCGTGGTGAGTTAAGGAAACGAAATGTCTCTCGGAGTGTGTGACTTTGTGTAAGGGGATTTGGGATATAATCTTAATCCTACCATTCATGATATTAATAAATGTCCTAGAAAGACTGTTGAAAATCATATCATCATGATGATGAAAAAATAATGAAAAATTAATCTTTAAATTTTGGTTTTTCTATTGTAAAGCGTTTCAATGAAAAGCTGAGCGTACCATATCTGGTACGGTTAGGAAATGTGGGAATAAGTAGTTCTTAAGCATGAATGGAACCAGTTGCGCAGAAGTCACGAATGCTGAGTCCGATCCGTGGTGGATTAAATCTCATTTGAATATTGAGAGCAATCCCTTTCGAGTAGAAAAGAAAACTGTCTAATTTGAAAGTTTTCTTTTCTACTCAAAAGGATTAAATCGTCCGTTTACACTGAAATGACCGCAATAACGAATGACTGACTACTGATTGATTTCCCCATTTTTACGGTTATTTACTGATGGATTTCCCCATTTTCAAGTGTCTACTATTTTTTTTTTACATAATTCCAAGTACATCTCGAAATTATCTTTTTCCATTGAATTTTCTGAGAATACTTGTATGAGTGACGATAGACGTAATTTGCAATTTTCGAGGCCAATGCAAATCATTTTCACACAGAGACCTAGCTGCGCGAGAAGCTCAACATTAAGGAGGAATGGTATTTTCATGTCCTGACGTGTTTCTCCCGCTTTGTTGCCTCAGGTCGAAAATTATTGAAGCGGCAGTGTCGGAACTGTTGCAAAAGTATGCCGTCCGGCCGGCTTTAAACTCCTGATGGAAGTAAAAGGGAACATTCAAATTTTGAAAAGATGGGTTTAGAGACTCAGTAGTCGTCAAAATGAAGAGGATTGGCAGCAGCTTAATGAGAACCTGGTTTGTAATACCCTTTGTATGTGTAAATCTGCTCTTGCGTTATTTTCTAGAGGAGCCTTTCCGTTCTGTTAATATTCCTTCAGTCTTGAATTCGAAAAAGCCTGCATATTAGTTAGCGAGCTCTGGGTTGCAAGACTCAGAACGCAAGGCACCAAGTGTTTTCCGATCCAGCCAGCACGCCGACACCAAAAAAGAAATGGGTTTAGCACACCTGGTACAAAGTACGTCACGAAGCCAGCTAAATTGTGTTGCAATTACTCGTAGTGTATGGCGAGGATGAGAAGATCCTGCAGGTGGCTGGCCACCGAGGCCAAGCGCGTTGGGGTGATTGCCCCTCATGTGGGGAAGAGAATCGAATGTGCCTGTACCTATATCCTGGTTTCTTTTGTTCCTTTTGCGTTGCCTATCTTTGCGAATAAGGCAACCTGGAAAAAAAGAGGATATTTGAGGACTTTGAGACGTAATAAGACGATGCCAATATTGAAGCTCATGATGTAATGGTCTGAGATGTAAGAACGAAAATAAAATCTGCCAAAAGCTCAAGGAATGGACGAAGAGAGCGGCGCCCGTTTCCACTCCTCTTCACACCAACCCACTTCATTATATGGCCGCTTTTGAAAGTCTACCTGCACGGTATTACTAAGATGAGGCCTTCGGAGGCGATTGCAAAAATATATTGCAGTGATTCATCGCTCTAGCCTAATCGGGACGCTCGCCTCAACTTCGTACATCAAATTGATCCTCGCATCATGTTGATCCTAGTTAAGCACCTTAATCACATTCCATATCTCCATAGCAACACAAATGGCGCAATAAAATATGTAAGTCACAGACGGAACTCCAACTGTAATATGTTATAGGTGTTTAAAAGCGAGGAGGCAGAATCTCAGCATGAATATGAACAGCATATTTTTATAGGAGTGTCAATCGATTACATTCCTGAATCGATTAATCGCGAGTCATTTAATCGATTCTTTGGTCGATAAATCGTGATACTTTTGATAGCTTTGCTTTCGTGCTTCGTCTTACCAGAAATATAGGTAAAGTTTTCGGAAAAGTCAGGAATGCGAAAGGGACAACCTTATTCAAGCTAACATTTCCATCCCTTGAAAAAGCATTCGATTTGGGTTGATGTTGAAGACTAATCACAACTCCATATTAATTAATTGCAACTATATATTTTAAATAGGAATTTAAATCTTCAATCGATTACTCGATCGAATAATCTAATCGAAGTGACAACCCTAATGTTTCAATTTAAATTAATGGAATCACATTGTTCATTTTTCGTCTGACAGGCAGCTGACAAACTGGCGATAAACCAGGCGACTTATCGAAATTTTGCGAAGCAGCAGATCGGTTACATGTTGGGAGACACCGGTTACAGCTATGTGATTGGATTCGGCAAAAATTACCCTCGACGCCCTCACCATACCTCTAGGTAAACCGCTTCAATTCCGTTCGCCCCATGGAGTAATTTTGCTTGCATGAGCCTGTTAACTGAAAATCTGGAGTCCAAGGAGTTTGAACGGAGCCGCTTTGGTGAGTCACTTTCCTCTGGCAGTTCCAGGGGAAAGCTTGTATGAACGCTTGGTTGCTCATATCCGTGAGCTGTTCAAGGAGCTGAGTCGTCAGATCCTTCTGAAGAACATCGACGAAAATCTTGACAGAAGTAAAAAAAATAACAGCTTAAATTCTCCGTCTGTCCAAAGTCATAAAATCTCTGACCAAGGGTTTAAAGGAAGGAAAATTGGTCGTTGATAATCCCTGCCTGGAGCCATGGTCGCTAGATGAGTTTGCCCCACTGCCACCCCCAGATACTCGTTGTGCGAAGATACAGGGGTTGGGAGCTCAAGGAAGATTCTCCCATTAGCAAGATTCTGTTGCTGTGGCACTTAGTGTGATGTCCAAACCAATAAGAGTTGATTATATGATATGTGTTTCTTTCTTGTCTTCCTCTGCAGTTCTTGTCCGACAGTCCAGGCGTGCGGTGGATGTCAATGCAATTGGAGTTATTATAGCTCTCCGAGTCCAAATCCGAATCTGCTCGAAGGGGCTCTCGTCGGCGGGCCGGATGACCGAGATCGTTTCAAGGACGATCGTCAGGATTACATCAAGTGCGAGGTTACCCTCGACTATAATGCTGGCTTTCAAGGAGCTCTTGCCGGCCTCCTCAATGCTCGCATTTGATGGACAGCGTCCGAGATGGAATAAAATGCATATCAGAATGAAGCGCGTCCAGCATTTTTCAACGGCTTTCACTCGGAGCTGCCCGTGAAGCACGTCCACGAAGGTCTCCCAACGTTGTCGTCGTCCATTATACGATGAAGCATTTTCTCTATTTTCCTCAACAACAGCATGGTGTTCCCTCGCATTATATATAGCAGTAAAAGGAAACCGTGAAGTACTCACTTTTGATTTTTAAAATCCCTTCAGTTGAGAGGAACTAAGGCTCAAAATGTGGAAAAACGTCCAATCTATAAGATGTCGAAATCCCGTTATTATTTTCCGCCTCTTTGGGTTTTATATGTCCAAGAAGTGTAGATTTCTCCTTCACGCTTTGAGCAGCTAAGACTGTCTCGTCGACAGAACAACTTGCCTACATTATATCAATAAATATAAATGATAAATTGTTTGTACAAGTCACCATTGGTTGGTCGATGAAGTCAGTAACAAGCGCACTTCCACACAAGTCAGTCCTCCACACAGGATTGAAACCCGTGACCATCAGAGACTGCGTGTTTTCCCAGAAGGGGGCGCACATTGTTGGTTATTCACGTGCGAAACGGTTGGGAAGGGGGAAGTGCATCGGAAATGCGAGAAGCGATGTCGCCAAGCGATGTCGCCATGCCCTTGTGACTCTTACGGACGAACCGTTCAAGGAACCGCCGGAAGTGCACGATACTCATACACCTAGAACGGAAAAATTCGGTCATGCACGCTTCGTTTCGATCATGTCCCCGAGGAGAAAAGGACCTAAAGGGATTTCTTTTCCGCCGATTTCCCGACCATTATTTAGGGTTTTCCCCGTCGCTAAGGCTACAGCGTCCAGTCAATCAAATCAGCTGGCTCTTGACGTCACTTGAACCAGATGCGCCCAGTCCATTCCTATATTCCCGCATGGACGCTCGAAAAAATGTTTGGTGCCTTCTGCTCTTCACTACTTGCAAGCCGGAACATGTAAAATATCTATAGGAGCTTCAGGCAGAAGGAATATTCGCAAAACGCATTGGGTGGTATTCATACAAACGCATTGGCAGGTTTGCACAGCTTCCCGGGAAATATGCCTAATCGACCACTACATGACTCGTTCACTTATCATCTAAAGAACCGTATATAATTTTTTTTCACTATGGAAAGCCATTTGTGAAAAATGGCGAGAAGGGGAAATGTTTCGTGGTCAACGGCCGAAGAAATAGCATGAGAGAGAAAACATTTCCTGAAGTAAAGAATCTGCGTTCGGATTTTTTTCTGCTATAACCGCAAATTTGGGGAATACAATTTGAGCACGTTCGTCTGCACTCTTAGAAAAGGGGGAGCGATTTTTCTCAAAAAAAGAGAGCAAAATAGCTAACTCCAGTTTCACCCCTCTTTCACTCTGGGAAAGGAGCGAATTTACTCCATCACCGAGGAGCAAAATCCTCCTCCTCTATGAGTAAGAACGCTCCCATCGGATAGTGATAGGGATGCCATGCAAATACGAAAATTCTCATACATTTTGTGCGGCGCTTTCGCTCTCGTACAGGTGCTGACCTACCTCTGATTGTACTGATTACAGCACACGTCAGAGGGTGGACCATCTCTTATAGGTTCCATGGAGTGTCTGGGATGTCAGTCCTTTATCACCTCATCAATTTGAAGAATGATTGAAGGAAGTTCATGGACACTCTTCTTAATCTAGATCTCCCGTAAGGACAAATTCATACGCCTCCCAAAAGGGTTCTCAATAGGAATATGAGCTTGTTTATGGCCTGGACTCTATGAATATGTTTTGAATATGTGGATAACAAATGATGAATTCCTATAATGAGACTAGGCGAGACATACGGCAAGGTACTAAACAATCCTGCGAGGGAATATTCCAGGGAAAGAGTGAAGGGAACTTTTGTGTACAGTGCGAAAAGCGAGACCCTTATCTCCATCTAGTGGCCTAGCGAAGAACTTCAAGTTGTTCACTTCCATACGAGCGATGAGGGAGCATTCGGTGAGTAATAAGAGAGTAAGTTCGAAAAGCTCACGGTGTGCTCACTTTTTACTCCCCAAACGCTCGGAATTTTCTAAGAGTGTGTGGATGGACTGCGGTAGTGCCCCCATTGCAATAAAAAAAAGTTATGTTTGAAAGTTAAGAAAAATGATGCTTGGAAAGCCGACCCACCCAAATGCTATGCCCGGAGGGGATGCACCATAAAAGGTGAATACTCCCTCAACTCCATAAGATCACGTCACTTATACGTGTGCCACGTCTCACCTTTCCATTTCTGTCCAATTCGCCACGACTATTTATTTTTATTTTTTTAAACATTGCCCCTCGAGTAATTTTCCTCCGGGGATGTATCAAGGCATAACATTTTTCTTCAACTCCTTATCTTGGTAGTCGCATTCATGCAAAGTTCCAGCTTTCCATGTCCAACGGTTTAACTATTGCAAAAAAAATTATGTGAAAACATCTCCCTTTGAAATTCATGCCCCAGGGCATATTTGGTGCAAAGTCTGAATTTTTCTGCACGCAGCTTCCCGGAAGGTAATTCTGTACCAAGTTTCATCATTCCACTCTAGCTCAATCCACCAGGACAAAAAAAACACTTGAAAACGTTGGCCCCCAAAAATATGCCCCCAGGGCATGGATCTAAAATTTTGCATTTTTCCTGAGCCCATCGTGTCGGTAGGCACATCCATGGCACGTTTCAGCTTTCTATTTCTCTCCGTTTTACCCAAGCCACGGGACATGGAAGGCAAGAGAAACCAAAAAAAAAAAAAACATTGACTGGGTGGGAATTGAACTCAGGCCTTACGATTACGGGTTGGATGTGCTACCACTACACCACCGAAACGGCAACGTATTCCCAGCGAGACCTCAAGAACTTTGAGGGGAATCTGGAATCTGCCAAGGCGTGTTGCAATCAGTCGGTCTGTGTTTGCAAACATTTACCGAAACTTTCGAACATTCGGATCCGTACTCCATCCAAGGTCGCGCACGCCAACAGTGCGAACCCCAGAAAATATTGAGAGGGTGCAAGAGGCTGCACGGGTGCACACAGAGGCCAACCGGAATGCCGGGTCTGAGAGAATC